TATATATACGGTCAGTTCGGAAACTGCCTCATCCGTATTCAGGTCCATGTTGTTGGTGTCTTTGTCATTTTCAATATCCGTAGTCTTTTAAGAGCTTTCCACGAGAATGACGGAATTCTTGGTCGATTTGTCAGTATCCTCGTCATCCTCCTCCACCTCGTCCTTGGCATCATCGTCGTTGTGGATGCGATTGTCACCAGAATCAAAATTGCCGTCTATTTCCATGTCGTGCCTTCTGTTGTTGGAGTTGTCGTCAACTGTCTCGTCAGAGTCCCACCCATCTGGTTGGCCGAACTTATTGACAAGGCCAGTGTCCTTGGCGCCCACTGGATTGTCTTCCTCCTCCAAATCTTTGTAATCAGGATCAAATATCTTTTTGACCCCCTTGTGAATCTCCACCTTATTAGTTTCATTGTTGGGAAATCCCTCAATCACCTTCAGTTTTATTCTTGAATGCAAGGGATTGAAGATTCCTCGAGAAATTCGTCAAAAAGCATTGTCCATGGGTGATCAAATATGGAAGCGCACATCAGCCAAAACTGCACCAGAGGAGTCTCATTACGTAGGGCAGGATTTGTCGGATTGTCCCTAAAAAAATAAAGATCTTCTTGTGGCACTGTTGCAACTTGCAAGGCAATTGCTCTCACCCCCCATGTGTATTCCATATTCTTGTCAACATTGCCCATGGCATCATCATCAAAAAGCGAGATCAGGAATTTCAACGCTTGCCGCCAATCGTTTGCATATTGAGCGAATAGCATGTTGACCCTGACTTCAACTGAATAGTTAGCATAGGGGTCTTTGAACGGGCTGTCAAACCGTGGAAGCGCTTGGGTCAACCAATTGTTATGGGTTTCCATCCATTGATTGAAAATGGAGTTGCCAAACAAAATCTTAGTGGAATTATAATTGTAGCCGATAGCAACCAGGTCATGAGTAGAAAGACCAAAATCGATCAGTGGAGAAAAGAATGCTATCAACTCTTGAATCTCCGAAATATTGTTACCACTGGGATCCCTGTCCTTAGGTTGACATAAATCAACTGCAGATGCGTTTTCCAATCTTTTTTCTTCGCTCTTTTTGGCGACAGAAACCGATTTGGATGTGGACCCGCCCGCCTTGTTGGCAGTCGTTGAAACAACCTTCAATGATGTATACTTCCCCATTGTAAAACAGTGAAATGCCAATGAATTGATAAAAACTTCAGCAATTTCTACATAGACTTTAGTACTTAAACTACAAATACCATTTGCAAAGTTCCGATCGGTTCGGTGCTTTTCGTTTTTTGTTTTTCTTTTTCTATGTGCAAGAGCTACTCTGACTCGTTCTTTAAGCGTCCTATTGTTTTGCTCAGCTGTAGGCTCATGGTCTCCAGCTGCAGTTGGGTCAATAGTAACACCTATATTGTCTAGCATATCATCCGTTAGAGGAATGAATGCTTGATCACACTTTATCATCTTGACTTGAAAGCCTGCCTTGTTGCAGTGGCGGAATATCTTATCCAATGTTTCAAATACAGGGTCAGTCTTCAGGTTCTGTATAGGAATACACGAGCAATAACACACAGTGGTAGCAATGCAGGTGAGAAACTTAGCATCTCCGATCTCCATGTGATCAATACATCAATACAGACGGTAATTGATCGATTATGTTGATACAATTCCTCTGGTGGACTTAAGAAGTCATTGTGTGTCTTCTTTGGAGTTGGTCTTGTTGACTTGCCTTTCAATGTAGATGCGTCAGGTCCAAAGATTGCTTCTGCATGATTGATCGCTTCTTCAGTGATAGGACAGTTCTTGATGAGACCAGATTGGATTGCATACTTCAGACTTTTGGTGCTTGGAGCATTGAGTATGTGCATTGCACTTCTCGCTTCCATCGCAGCCTTGACTTGTCTTGGAGTGAATCCTTCCTTGTTCTTTCAAACAGTTGCCATCTTGGAGGTCATCCCGAGTCCAGCATATCCATTCTGTTTGTTTGAAGAAAGTTTGAAATGGGGTTGATTATTTAAGTTGCTTAACTGGCGACGGTACATTGCACTTGTCTCTTTGGCACCTGGTTTGACATTTGCTCCAAGTTGCTCCAACACATACACGCCCTTACAATTCACAAATTGCATCTTTCAATTTCCATCACAATGCACAATAAAAGCATTGTCAGCATCAGTATCCATAGTAATGCGGTATCCCGCAGCAATCATCTCTCGCATAGCAAGTACATTGGCAATTCCATCTTCATCGTGATAAACTGGAGGTGGAAATCTTCCTAGAAAACCTTCTTTGTCGAGAACTCTGCTGCTAGTGTGCATGTCAAGTTCTTTCTCAGCATGACGGAGTCCATGCATAAGCTCACCATTACAAATGGTGGTGTTTGTACGACCACTGTCCATGATGACATGATTGTACAACCCAAATGGATCTCTTTCCTTTCTGCGGCTTTGAATAAACTGCAGACCTCGATCTGCTTCAGTAGCAAGATCAGGCAAATCTTTGTCGTACCAGCAGGAGATGGAACAAGATAGACATCATAACCATTTTCATCCTTTCCCTTGATAGCATTGTGGAAGACATTTGACATCTTGTATTAGCCAGTCTTCACAACCTGCGGAGTTCGAGCTTGAGTTCCATCAAATCCTTGGCGCACTTGAGCACCACTGAATCCTTGATGGCCAAGTTGCATTCCACTGAACGCAATCTCACCATTGGCATTCATAGAGTAAGGGACAGTCACAGTGCCACCACCTTGAGTTGGAATCTGCATGAGCTGCATTCCTGCAGGAACTTGCATCATCTGATTACCTGTAGTACCAGCAAGTCGCAAAGGTGTGATAGTAACGCTTCCCACAACAGTCAAGGCTCCACTTGTGGATGCAGAAGCTCCAGGAACTATAGCTTGAACTGTATCTGGGACAGTTGCTCAAACCTGATTCAGATTGAGCTTCTTCCCAGAATCAACAAATTGATTCGGATCCTTCCATTGGGTCTTTGGTAGCAGTCTGTCTGGGCATTTTGGAGACATATGGTCTTCGTTGCCACACACATAACATGCTGCCTTCTTCTTTCCATCCTTTGGTTTGCCTTTGGTTTGCCTTTGGTTTGCCTTTGGTTTGCCTTTGGTTTGCCTTTGGTTTGCCTTTGCCTTTGCCTTTGCTGCCTTTGCTGCCTTTGCTGCCTTTGCTGCCTTTGCTGCCTTTGCTGCCTTTGTTGCCTTTGCCTTTGTTGCCTTTGTTGCCTTTGTTGCCTTTGTTGCTTTTGTTGCCTTTGTTGCCTTTGTTGCCTTTGTTGCCTTTGTTGCCTTTGTTGCCTTTGTTGCCTTTGTTGCCTTTGTTGCCTTTGTTGCCTTTGCCTTTGCCTTTGCCTTTGCCTTTGCCTTTGCCTTTGCCTTTGCCTTTACCTTTGCCTTTGCCTTTACCTTTACCTTTACCTTTACCTTTACCTTTACCTTTACCTTTATTAGGTTGGTCTTTTCCTTGGTATAGGTTCACTCCCGGATTCTTAATGACATCCATGTGAATCTTCAATATATCTTGAGTTTTGCTGACCGTCTTTGGATAGAAATCCACTTCCCTGCAATAGTTTGTCTGAAGCTCCAGCATTAGAGGAGCTGTTCTTGTTTGATCTTGTTTGATCGCAGTTCCACAGAAATCCCGTTGCAAGAACGGCTTCAAAGATAGCATCCTTGAACTTGTCTTGAGCAGCAGTATCAGTGCTAGCAATAGCAGCATACTCTTTTGTCTTGACTGCAAACTTTTGGAACCAGGCAACGCCATATAGATCTTGCAGGACTTCAGCTTGTCTCAAGAATTGTTCCTTGAAATGAATCAAGTTTTTGGTTGTTCCTTGCTTCATAGCAAAGAACTTTTGGTTGGCTTCCCAGAAATCCAAGAAGTCATATTCAGCATTGGCACTCTTCTTCATGAATTGTTCAATACGTTTCAAGAGTTTGATTGGATCTTCAAGAGTACTCGTGAAATTGGCTTCACCTCAAAGCTTGATATCCGTTGCCTTTGTCACAAACTTAAGCATGATGCTTGATTTGACGGTTCTCTTGTTTGTCTTGAAGTAGGCTGATCTTTGCATGTTCTTGTCGAGCTTTGCAGAAACGAGAATCTTGTTTTGGGCCATCTCTGTTTCTCTTGCAACCGCTTCAGTTTGAGTTGGGTCATTCAATGTTCGAGCGATTGCATTGAAGTCGATTGACTTCCTATTGCAAATCAATTTCACCATGTCTTTGGAGCATTTCATTCCAGAAGCTTGGATGTAGTCAATCACTCTTTCTTTGGCATCTTTGTATGACAATCTTGCCTTTCCATTGTTTTCATCTTTTGTTGAAAAAAAATGTTTCACCACTGTTGAACTTGGATTGCGCTTGACTTTCTGAGGAGTCACACCTTTTCCACCACCAGATGAAGAATGTCCCATTGTCAACAAATCACTCACTCCTTTGTAGATAAGGCAGTGCTGTTCTTGACATATTTTTGTTTTGTTGCCTTTTGTGATTGAATGTTAGAATAAAGCAAAATTGTTCTATTGTGAGTGCCTTTAGCGCTCAGAACAAACTCTCTGCAATCTAAATTTGTAATCGACTATACAACACTTTCACTACAATAGTTCTCCTGTGTTAGGTATACTTTGAGTGAAATTGTTCCTATTTGATTAATGTTTGGCTTGAATTGATGATTCAATCACAAAAGTAAGTTCAACGATTTTTCTTTGGAAAATCCCTTGTTTACAGAACTTGATTCGACCTCTACGACGATTCTGTGTTGGATACAGTACTTTGGGACATATTGTATTATTCCCTACTGCATTGTACACAACATCGATAACACACTTGTATAGGGTCATTCCCTTTTTGTGTGGATGTAGTTTGTCCGACAGACTTGCGTCCGGCATACTTGCGGCGAATCCCGACATCACGATCAAAGTCCGATCGTACGTGTCGAAAACTTCGTACTTGAATAGTTTCTTTTCGGAACGTAAAAACTCATATTTCGTCATATCCCAACACCGTAGCTGTAATGAGAGCCTCAACGCTCTAGCTACCTCTGGAGTATACTGAGATCGAATCTACATGGGCTATGGATTGCCTACAATAGGAACAGGTGCCAGTGATGCTGGGCTTCAACCTGCAGATGAACAGTCTCACCACTTCCTATTAGATCTTATTCTACTGCTATTCTTGCCAGAAGTTGATCAACAATGATCTCCACAAGCAGGTACAAAAAATCTCTTCCGGAAGCTGCCTGCGTCAGCTCTCACCAGCTGTCGCGGCGCATAAAGCACATACGCACATGTTCTTCACAAAATAGTCACAGACTAGATCTACCTTCAATACTTATCCACCTCTGTACGTACTCAAACCGTACTTCTGTCCGTGTTCGATATCACCAATGTCCGACTTCACTGTCCGACCTGTTTGACTGTTCTTTTACCTATCAAGATCCCATTTCACCAACACACTCCTGTCGTATCGACGACTCCAGTTGCGATAACGAATCCTTTTTCTTTTAATATGTAACGTGTATATCACACCATGTAGGCTAAAACAGCCGGTCTGGTCCTAAAAAATGTGACAAGCTGGTTCTGACCCAGCTACCGGTATATCCTATCTATTTGTCATGCCTGAAGACCACTTTTAATCCATTAAGTACTTTGTTAGTCCCAACAGTACTTCATTAGTTCTTACACGCGCACGTGAATTCCCAACACACTCCTTTGAGCGATGGATCGTGCATGTGATTCATTCGATCGGACATTCTGTCTGTCCGTTTGTTGTCGGCCCTTATTCAATTGTTCGTTTTACTCACTCCTTTGAGCCCCTATTCTCCAGGGATTTGAACCCTTGACCTCAGCTTTGTCTCTTATCTCGAGACCTCCTATCTTTTGCAGTCTATCTACTGCAGCTAGGTACTGAAACTCAGTATATCACACCAGTTTGGCTAAAACAGCCAGTCTGGTCCTAAAAAATGTGACAAGCTGGTTCTGACCCAGCTACCGGTATATCCTATCTATTTGTCACGCCTGAAGACCACTTTTAATCCATATAAACCTGGATTTTCCACAAGTACTTTGTTAGTCCCAACAGTACTTCATTAGTTCTTACACGCGCACGTGAATTCCCAACACTATGCAAGAGAGTTAGATGGGACTTAATGACTGCAGATGCATTTTTGACAACCAGAGTCTCCAAGCCAGACAAAGACGATTACGCAAAATTGGGCAGATCCATTTGAGAGCTACCAAGTACATGCCCCTGACAATTGAGTTGGACGACAAGTTTGTCATGCAATGGTGGGTGGGCGCGTCCTTTGCAGTTCACAAGGACATGAAGAGCCACACTGGTGCTGGATTAACCATGGGTAAGGGCGCCATCATCGCTATCTCAACTAAGCAAAAGATCAATACCGACAGTTTGACTGTAGCGGAGTTGGTTGGAGTACACGATGCACTACCTATGATCATGTGGTCCAGGTACTTCATCATTTCACAAGGATACGAAGTGGTCAAAAACATCATCCACCAGGACAATCAGAGTGCCATGCTGCTGGAGAAGAATGGAAGATCATCTTGCGGCAGGAAGACAAGAGCCCTTGACGTGCGATACTTTTCTATTACTGGCAAGATCAAGAGTGGATTCATGAGAGTACTTCACTGCCCGACAGCCAAAATGCTGGGAGACTTCTTCACCAAGCCTACACAGGGAACACTGTTCTGCACATTCAGAAACCTCATTATGAACCCTTCCGACCAATACTCCTAGTGCACTTGGACACTGGAGTGCGTTGTTGGAGCAAAGCTGATTTGCCATTAGTGACTCACCAGTCACAAACGCCAATCACGTTTATTACAATTACATGTCCCACGGCATATTGGTTGGAATTTATTGGTCGGAGTATGACTGGTACTCGTGGACGTATTAGCTTACGACAACGAGAATCTTTAGAACAAGTAGAAAGCGAATGTTCAGAATACAGTGCAATTGCAAAGCGTTTTGCAATCCTCATTGTTTTCTGAAAATTCTAAAAGACTAAAGTGATTTACAGCACACCTGCGGTGCGGATCTATCTGTTCTATTAGTTAGGCGGGACAGTCTCGATCGGCATTTCTGGCGTTGCCTCAACGCTGTATTCAGCAGTTTTTTAATGACAGAAAAGGACTACTTATGTCCATTGCAGTGCTTCGGGGAAGTTCGCTTACTTTTCTCCTGCCTGAAACGGTTGGATCAAGAGCTACTACAGTATGTACTCGCCTGGAATATTCAGATTATAATATGATTCAAAAATCCCTTGTTTACAGAACTTGATTCGACCTCTACGACGATTCTGTGTTGGATACAGTACTTTGGGACATATTGTATTATTCCCTACTGCATTGTACACAACATCGATAACACACTTGTATAGGGTCATTCCCTTTTTGTGTGGATGTAGTTTGTCCGACAGACTTGCGTCCGGCATACTTGCGGCGAATCCCGACATCACGATCAAAGTCTGATCGTACGTGTCGAAAACTTCGTACTTGAATAGTTTCTTTTCGGAACGTAAAAACTCATATTCGTCATATCCCAACACCGTAGCTGTAATGAGAGCCTCAACGCTCTAGCTACCTCTGGAGTATACTGAGATCAAATCTACATGGGCTATGGATTGCCTACAATAGGAACAGGTGCCAGTGATGCTGGGCTTCAACCTGCAGATGAACAGTCTCACCACTTCCTATTAGATCTTATTCTACTGCTATTCTTGCCAGAAGTCGATCAACAATGATCTCCACAAGCAGGTACAAAAAATCTCTTCCGGAAGCTGCCTGCAAGACAGGGTAATTTTCATAAATAAGGACAAGGGGACAGACGGGTGTCACCGCTCTCTCAAGCGGGTTGCGTGCCAACACAAATGCATCAAAAATTAACGGTCATCGTCGTCTGCAAGCGGAATGAAAAAGCTCGAACCAAATTTGCACACGATTCAAATCGGCATTGCGAGCACTACATCCTCGTACAACAGTGAATACAACGGATGTGGAATCTGGAATCCACGACTCTGAAATTCCATTTCCGCATCATGCGGAAATAGAATTTCCATTTCCGCATCATGCAGAAATAGAATTTCCATTTCCGCATCATGCGGAAATGGAATTTCCATTTCCGCATTCGGAAGCTGGAGCCAAAAGATTTCTTTAAGGGAAAGAAAAATTGGGGGAAGCATTTGATTCCATACGCCAAAAGATACTGGTAGGGAGTGGAGAATGCCAAAAGAAAATGTCAGGAGATATATATGAATACAACTAGCTTTGGGTGCCTCAGCGCCCATAGTTCTTGTATCCCTCCGGTGGCTAGATACTAGCTCCTGTTCCGATAGCGATCTATTGACACTATAGTAAACTATACATATTCAGCATTACACAACATCCAAGATCAATCGCGGATCAGAGCAAGGGAATATTAGTGCTTACAATCCTCCCCTCTCCCAAATCTCCATTTATCAAAATGGTAATTGGGCCGTTTCCTTGCAGGGGTTACTGATTCGTGTTGGAGTATGTTGACAGTGTAGTAGCCCAAGGTGAAAGAAGACTTATTCTGAAACGTCAATTCTCATTATGAAGTACAAGAGACAGGTTATGTTTGGGGGAGGATTGGGGGGAGACTTTTCTGTATCAAAAGCTGGCTCTCACTCGGAAGCTGGTTTCTGCACCGTGCGGAAATGGAAATCCTATTTCCGCACCGTGCGGAAATGGAAATCCTATTTCCGCACCGTGCGGAAATGGAAATCCTATTTCTGCACCGGAAGCTAATGTGGCAACAACGGTTTCAGTCGTCTACTCATATGGCGATCATTCATCCGTTGGCCAGTGCTGGATATTCCGGCAGGTGTTTGAAGGCGAGGTCTATTTTGGCAAATTGCATCGCTAGAATTTAACGGCTGGTCAAGCAGGTCAAGCGGGAATCGACAGGAGATCCCGCTGGCAATGGGACCCCGTCTGTCCGTGTGTAACCCATATTTCGGAAAATTACCCCGTCTTGCTGCGTCAGCTCTCACCAGCTGTCGCGGCGCATAAAGCACATACGCACATGTTCTTCACAAAATAGTCACAGACTAGATCTACCTTCAATACTTATCCACCTCTGTACGTACTCAAACCGTACTTCTGTCCGTGTTCGATATCACCAATGTCCGACTTCACTGTCCGACCTGTTTGACTGTTCTTTTACCTATCAAGATCCCATTTCACCAACACACTCCTGTCGTATCGACGACTCCAGTTGCGATAACGAATCCTTTTTCTTTTAATATGTAACGTGTATATCACACCATGTAGGCTAAAACAGCCGGTCTGGTCCTAAAAAATGTGACAAGCTGGTTCTGACCCAGCTACCGGTATATCCTATCTATTTGTCATGCCTGAAGACCACTTTTAATCCATTAAGTACTTTGTTAGTCCCAACAGTACTTCATTAGTTCTCCAGTGGTCTGCTCTTTCAATTTAGATACTGTAATATCCATATCAGCCAAGCACGCGTCGCCAGTGAGTTTGAAAAAATCAATTTCCGCATCCTGCATTGTTTTAATATCTTCTTGAGACCCATTGGTCATTATGAGAAACTGTTGGGCCATTTGACAGAATGGCGTCATTATATGTAATTCAAAACCGTCGCTGCCTGGCCGCTTCAATCCGATGAAGTCAGCTGTCTGGGCCACTTGGTTCATCATTTCAGCAGCCGTGAGCATTTGTCCAATCTCTGTATTACGAATCCGATGAATCATGTGCATGGGTTTCAGATCATCCCCCCGAAACAAGTAGGCGTCATCACCTCGCCTTGCTAACTCCACAGTCTCCACGACAAAGGGTGAAGTTGGCTGTGCTGGGCCTTGTAAGACACTTTCTACGCCTCGAGACACCATGGATTTCACAGGAGCGTCACCTCCCAATAGGACTCCAAATACAGTATCCTCACAATAGGTGAGAGATGGTGCTTGGCTGCTTTGTTGTTGTGTTTGGCACAGTTGATAGACATGATCTACTAGCTCAGACTTTTCCACAAAAGGTTGGTTGACATCGCCGCCTAAAGATCGATTCAAGTTCTTCAATTGCCTCGTAGTCATTTTGGACAGTTCATCTTTGGTCTTCGATCCAGTGGATTTGGAGACATAACCGGAAGCACAGATTCCACCCACAATGGCTGCATTCGGTAGGCTTTGCTGCATGGTAGAAACAAAATATTCAGCGAAAGAACTGCCATGGCCACAGGCGTAGACAATCATTGCCTTCCACCATCTTTCATCCGTCCGTTGTTGGATTTTCTGTTTCATTGATTGGATATCTTCTTCCATTTGCGAAGCGTGATTGATTACAAATGGGACCACTTCAGCATTTGGAAAGCTAGCAAACATGGCACTAGCGTTACTTTTGTGCTCTACGTTGCTCGATTGATTGACTTGAATGTCTCCTGCAATCGCACCAAGGATTATAGTATCAGGAGAGCAGTGAAATCGTCGTGGCAGTTCATCGCCCAGCGCGCTTCGGGGAGAATTGAAAGCCAAAATTAAATTCGGTTCCTTTTGCAAGCCTTCAATTCCTTGTTGTACCACTTCTTTGGATCCAATTTGTTCCTTCGTGGAGGGATCCCAACTCGATGAAGTGACCAATTGTGGACCACTGAGACTGCGATATTGATGAACCAAGTAGTAATACCGCTTGGCCGATGCTGCCAGTCTTCCAGAATCCATCGCGTTCAGAAATTGCACCATGTGCAACACGAGATCGGAATTAAAGTCTTCCATTTAGATTTCTTTGATGTTGTTTCTAATCTATCTGGACAAACTGGAATGATGATTATTGTCATCCGAACTGCGTGTGGACCACCACCATATTTGAGGGGACACAAATCCCCCCTTTGATATGATCCCTAAATAAATTCCGCGACTTTTGACATAGATACATTTTGATTGTAGTACGGTATGTTTGATCGGCAAGACGGGAGACGTATGGGCGTTTCTAGCTCTTCCTTAGTCTCAATTTCCGTCGTGTCGATTGCGGCTCGCCGCTTCAGTGAAGTACACGGTTGGCGGACGGGGCGACGAGTGTCGAGGAAGAGGACGGAAGATTTGGAGAAGACATTGTTCGCAATGGGAGCTTGTGGGATGATGGAGACGATAGAAGGAGCTTAGGCTGCTCGGTCAAGACCGTCAGCTTTTTGCTTTTTACAATGGTACCGGTATCATTACAGTACTGTACCGCGAATTTCTTTGGTACACTTGCTGATCATTTTTAGTCAAACACATTGAGCGTCTGAAACGATTATCTTGTTTCATCTTGAAACTTGCCAATCAGCTCCAAAGCAAGTTGGTTACATCTTATGGTGTCCCCATGGGATGTTGTTGTTCCCTCCTCCAGATCAACAGTGGTTAACTCTTGCAAAATACCAACGAATCCTAGATCTTGTATGAGCTCTTTTGCCACTTCGTTCACATTGATTCGGTCTGGGAATACCAATCGCCCGCACAACACAAGCTGCCACAAACAAGTGGTTGGATCTTTCTCTTCTGTCAAGTTTTCCATTGCAGAACAAAGGACTGAAACCACTGCATCATCTGCCATGTCATGGTTATGCTTGTTCTTCAACAGCGCGTAGTTATACAGAAAAGTAGATGCCGCTTGTCGAACCTGGATGGCTTCGTGGTGCCAATCACCAATGGCAATATCAACGAGTGGAGGAGTGTCACTGGGGATCATGCTGTTATCAATGGATGCCATATAGTTACTTGCAACACATCACGCCAGAGATCTTGTAGTTGGTGTTTTCCATGTGTCTGGAAACAGCGTCGCACCAAACAGCCATTCCATGCAGTCAACAGTGCCTTCGGCGTACTTCAAAACTATCAGCCGCAACATGGCCGTACTAGGTGAAGCTGGTGATGCCATCTGTAATGATGACGTCAATTGCAGACGTACAGTGGTGTACTGTGTATCAACACTGCCCTGAAATGGGGCCATTTGAGTTATCTGCATCTCCTCCAACAAAGGTCTAATCATCATACCCATTGGCGACGACAAGAATCGTTGTGGGACACTCAAGATCCATTCAGGTACGCCTCTTAGTAGTTTCAATCCGTTAAGTGCTGCTTCATGAGAAAAATTGTTGCAGTTTCTAGACAAAAGATCATATGAATTGATGTTGAATTTGCATTGACCCGAGCCTTGACACCAGGCTTCAAATTCAGACTTTGAAATTTCTGTTACGCCGAGGGATTGAATTTGACATGGTTCAATACCTCTGCTTCGTCGAAAAAGGTTGGGGTCGACTGCTTGAATACCTCCACCAAAGAAGTATTCTTTGCCAAAACATAACAATCCTGTATGAGGAAACATTTCCAGGACATGATTTGGTCCCAAGAATTGAGCAGACAGATTTCGTGCCATGCCATTGCTCAAATCATGAATTGCAAAACGGACTTCCATATTGAAACGTCCACGGTTTGACAGAAGATGTGAACCAATGATAGCGATTGAACAACGACAAGAACAAGGAACGACAAGGAAGAAAAACAAGGAAATTCAGTATGAGCTGTGCTTCTTCCAAATATCTTCGTCAATCTCAATGTTCCAAGGAATTTGTGATGCCAAATCCGGAAAAAAACTTCATCTTTCTTCTTTATCCTTTGCAGGACCGGGAACGGTGGTCGGAGTGGTCGACGAAACGTTGGGGAAAAGGAATCTGAGAGTTGCGGAATTTCAAAAAAATTGGAAATTTGAAAAAACGGTCCAATTCATTCAACTCGCCAAATGAATGAAAAAGGCTGTCTTCTCTTTCGCAGGAGTGAAAAAAATTGGCCAACGGTTCGTCCATTTTGTTCCGATGCCACCAACCTGGATCATGTAATAAGTAGTGTAAATTTATGTTATTCAATTTACTACAAATAGCCGCCTGCAAGACAGGGTAATTTTTTTATAAATAAGGAAAAGGGGACAGACGGGTGTCACCGCTCTCTCTGAACCAGCCTAGAAGAAGAGATAGGAATGGGTCACAACAAAAGTTATAGAGTCTCTCAAAAAGCCACAGAAAGGAGTGACGTAAGAGTTAGTCCTAATAGGTTGTTTAGGAGTCACCCGAACCGTCTGGCCTTTCCCAGTCAATCTCAATTTTCCCACCGAGATGCATACCCGCTCGCCGGCCTTCTATCCGTTAGATTTGAATTCATCAATCATTCATTCACTCACTGTTTCATCAAAATTGCAATGAACATGAAGGTAAGTTTTGGATGGGCGTTGCATCTCCTCCATACAAGTTTCTTACACAACTCTATTATCGCTCTATGCGCAGTGATGAGACGGATCGAATGAATGTGGTTGCGCTTCTGCAATCAATCGACTTTCATTTCCCTATCACTATCATGATTCAAGGCCTTTCCAAATTGCTTTCAATGGTGCCGACGGGAAAGAGAAAAAAAAAAAATAACTGAAACATTAATCGATTAAATGCTATCTAGCGCATACGATTGCCGGTGGAGTAAGCGGCTGTAAAGGTCAAGTACCGTGAAGCGACGAGTCAACAACTAGTTTGAACCATTGGAGACATCT